AGCTACATATTGATGACACTTTATTCATAATGGTCGGTCTTAGCACGGCTGAAGGGACAGTATGATTAATTAGCGACTTAAAATTGCCGGTTGACGGCTTCCATTCGAGCTGTAAAAAAAAACAATATCTTCCAATGACATAAAATTTCTTGTCAAATCTCCATTATCGTTTTTTTAATTATCCTATTTGTTGTGCCCGGCATTTTTTCTATAATTGGATATTTCCGTAGTTCAGTCAACAAAAACAATTGATTTATCTGCATTTCTATTATATTTAAAATAATTTTCTAAAGAAGCATGCGGTAAAGTGGCTTTTGTAGGTGTGAAATCTAACTTTTATTAACTCATAAAATATTTCCATTTCTACTTTCGGATTTCAATGCAAAAAATTTAAATTTTGCCTTTTGTACAATTACTAAATACATTTGCGCAGAAAAGTTCGGAAATTCATTATTAAATTTAGAAAGCGGTAATTCATTAATTATATTGAAAAAATTAATTAATGTTTTCTAGTCTTTCACACATTCTAATTTCAAGGTCATCAAGGTTTTCGAAATAAAATTCCTATTTTCGACACAAAATTTGCGACTCTTTATCATTAACTTTAGTTCATATTAAGTTTTAAAAAGTATTGTTAAATTTAACAAAGAAATCTATTTATATAAACACGATTATATGCCGATGCTTTATCTTTACCTTGTGATTCAGTTGATTTAGGTTACATAATTTCGTCTCATTCAATTTAACTTTCTTTTTCCACAATTTCCAAAGGTTGCTTGAGCAGTTATTTCATTTTAAATATAATTAAGTAATATTCTTGCTACATTATATCATAACTTTCTTTTCCAAATATTTGTTTTGATTTAAGTCAAAATTTAAATTATGTGGATAATATATTAAGTTAACAATAATGAGAATCGTAAAGACTTTTTTTAAGAAATCATTAATGTCATCTGTGGCAAGTTAAGATTTTACCCGGGGTTTGCGACAAACTTACCTCCAGGTGGTGCACCCTGGGCAACGTATACTCATACGGCGAAAAAGTCTATCAACTGGCAGTTGACTTCTAACTTCAAACTACCATGATCCCACTGTATGTCAAATTCGACCACTTTAAGAGTACTCATCTTACCTTTTCTCTGCTCTTTTGCCTGTCTCTGTCACATCTGTGAATCATTATTCTGTCCCCCTCTCGACTTTTTGTCAATTTGATGTTCCTCCTCCTCTCTGTGAAGCCTGAAGTTAGCTAAATGGCTAATGATAACTATCAAAACGCCTGCCATTTGAAATAAATAAATAAATATATACTAGTCTTCTCCGTTCTGTTTACCGATCAACGTGATAGGTTGCTGATGTTGGTTAATTCGGTTTTCTAACAACATTTAAAAGAGCCGAGGCGTTGATTCCAACATAATTCGGAGCATTCTCATGTAGTTACTACTCGCTTCTACTTCCCCTCCCTATGAAAAGTCCTAGTTTAATTGGTGCGCATCCAAGCCAAATCTCTACCCCATTCTACAATTCTATTGGTCGACTGCGCTGTAGATACCAATCCAACTCAACACGCCTTTGAGGTTGGATGTGTGATAGAAAGCAATGTTTGTGATATCTCCTCTTCTTTGAGTTAATCTGCCTTGTCTTCTTGAAACACACTATTGGTATGCTAACCCTCTTAAGTCTTTTATTTGATTTTATTGCATCATTTAAAACACAAAACAATTTATTCGAACGCAAAAGTGGGTTTTCAAATTTCTGATAAATATGTAGAGAAATTTTAAAACATATAATAAAACTAAAAGGGCCTTTGAACGAAAACCCTAATATATTTGCAACTTTTAATTCTTGTTACATTTAATATATTCCATTCATCTAATTTCTAATAATATATATTTTATTTGATCAAAATGGAAAGCTAAACTTCAAATAAGAGATATGGAAATAGGCACGTAGGTTTGGAAGGCTTTCGAAAAGGAGAATGGACTACGAACTCTGTATTGTTATCAAACTTTTGCTACTCGTTGCTTCAGGGTCCAAGAGTATATTGAGCAGCAATAACGTCTATGACGCTAACAAGTACCGATTTCTGAAATGAATCTAATTCCGAAAACGCATTTGCAAGCAAATATGCTCAGTACAAAACATTAGGTAACATCAGTTGCTAGGCCATTTTACTTTGAAAAATACAAAAAAATATATAATGAAATTTCAATGGCATAATTAAATGTTTCGGTAAATACTAAGAGCAGATTTTTGATGACACTATACTTAGTAGAACTCCCCATAACAATGAAGAGCAATTCGAGAAGTATTTTCACTAAATTCCTAATGATTGATTAAATCATAAATACGTTCGGGCTTCTTGACTTTCAGGAAATAAGAAGAATCAAAGCCAGTAAATGATGAAGTGCTGTGCCGTCTTTGTGAATTATGCCAAGAGTCGGATGTTGCGACCTGAGTCGCAACGACGAATGGTTCTGATCATTGTAAGCATTGCCCTGCTTCTGGATAACATGCTCTATATGGTCATTGTACCCATCATTCCCGACTACCTTCGCACTATGGATGTGCTTCGACACAAAGAAGATCTACTCTCCAACATTTCTCGAGCTGCTAAGATTCAGAACAGCACAGGAAAGGAGAAGATTCAAGTAATCTGGCCTGTACCGGAGGCGGAAGATGCAAAGATAGGCACCCTATTTGCTTTCAAGGCCATTGTCCAATTGTTTTTTAACCCTCTTACCGGTCACATTATTGATCGAGTTGGCTATGATATCCCTATGGTGATAGGTTTGAGTGTAATTTTCATTTCCACTTCAATTTTTGCATTTGGACGTTCGTTTGGAGTGATGTTCACGGCTCGAGGTCTGCAGGGGGTAGGATCCGCTTTTGCGGACACTTCGGGTCTAGCTATGATTGCAGACAGGTACACTGAAGAAAATGAAAGAACAATGGCTTTGGGTATTGCACTCGCCTTTATATCATTTGGTTCACTTTTTGCGCCACCTTTTGGTGGTGTGCTGTACCAATATTGTGGAAAGGAATTTCCATTCATTGCACTTGCTTTTCTAGCTCTCTTTGATGGGTTTTTGGTGTTGTTTATCATGAAACCTGTGAGATTGGTTCGTATGGAATTGAAAGCGGAAGGGGCCCTGCCCAAGCCGGTCCCTATTCATCGTCTCTTAAGAGACCCCTTCATTCTTATTTGCGCTGGGGCTTTAGTGGCTGCTAATATTTCTCTGGCCTTCTTAGAGC